AAATAGCCCATTAAGTAGCTGTTGTGTTGTAAATTGTCATAAATATAAAGATTGCGAGAAGTCCTACCTACCAGACTAGGTGCCCTGGCCCATCATTGAAAGTTTGGCCCATTTTATCATTGTACTGGGAGATGCCCAATCCTACCTCCACCCATTTTATCATTGATTAGTTTTATCTTACCGTTTATATAATGGTGAACCTTTATCTTATTCTAGTACATAGAAATTCAATAACTTATAATCACAGAGTTCAAGCATATAGCAAACTTCTGTACACCTTGCATTTAACAGAAAATCAGAGAGATTTTTCTTTTCCAAATACTCACATTATTAGCCTCAATCAATTTCCATTTCTTGGAAAGTCCAATAGCCAATTTGCAACAACTATTACCAGTAGTAATCCATACATTCAAAAATTCCTCATATCACCAGTCTACTATGATATATATAACTGGTGCCGCTACTCACCTTGAAGATTCTGCATTTATATTAGTAAAACCGGTGCATCTGCTTTCATGACCATGCCTCTCTCGCAGTCTAATATACTTATCAGTGAGATACAATTACACTTAAAAAAGCTGTAGATTTTATTCGCAAAAAAAAAGTCCTTAAAAGTTGTAGATTTTAATAATGAATTACTACCTGATGCTCCAATAAATCAATTGCAGGCAATGGGAACTCGCAAAAAGTCACATGTCACTATCCTTTGTGGATAATTTTCTCCTTTGTGAACGTCTAATATGCCACGGTCCATTGTCTCACTGCACAGAGAACACGACACCTGCCAATTAAATGCGAGTCAGGAAACATAAAATATAACCAGAAAAGACCAAAAGGAATAAGAATTTAATACAGAGAATAGCAATCTTATTTCAGTGGATCTGCTACACTTACTCAATAATCAAAATTATGTCTGCATTTTCTTTAGTACTTTACGAGATGTTCAGTTTTCCTTCCTTATGAAAACTAGTACCAAAATTATCACATAATAAATGATCCCAATTACAGACCATTATATATGCAATATCACACAAATGTATTTTTTTAGTTAGTAGTAGATAGTAGCAGAGTCAAATGCGCGGAAGAAGAATTGGAAAGTCAAGTGGACAAATGGCACATGGAGAATGACAGACACCTAAATTGGTCGAGGGTTTGAGCTTCATGTGGATATACGCAGAAAATCCAATCAGTGTATCATTTAGCTATTTGTCCCTTCTGCATGGATACAACATGGAAGCCAGGTTTCACCATCCACTTCAAAATCTCAAGAAAAGATGGGTATTGGGTAAAGTAAAAGGAATCTAAAGACGCATAAACCCAAGGAATGTAATAACTTTTTATTTGGCATTTGCAAGATTATTCAAGGCGAAAACAGTCATGTGCTCAGTTGTTAGACAAAACGGCCAATGATGTGAATCCACTAGCAATAAATTCAGACACTACCAAATAGAAGTTTTCATAGATCATGAGAACTTTGTAATCAAGTTCTTGACATTTCTTCCATGCATCCCAGATAGAGATAATTTCATAGCTTCATGTTATTTAATCTCATCGTCTCAAGAGCTCTGATGTGCAACCTCATATGAGGTTGAACTAAATAAGCTATATTGATTCTCGGACAAATGATCTAGTTGAACGAACATTGAAAGATCGCAACAAGAAATTTTACAGAAGAACGAGCAAATATGTGCATTCAATAATTCGTGTGAATTGTGAAACTGTGTTGATTGGCTCAGTAAACGACAATGTTAGACAGTCCCATGATAGAGAAGTGATTGCTGAAAGTGGACCTGAAAACAGCTTCTGAAACAAGACAACAGACTGAACGCATTGTAGCAATCCTTTGAGGAATTCAATGAGGTGCAACAAACAATCAATGATGAGGAACTAATATGGCAGAGGAAGTGTTTAGCATCCAACAGAGCATTATTGTGATATGTTCCTATTTTAGGCACAGTTTAGCCTATTCAACTTCTTTCTTGTCTATATATGATTGAGTCTCCTTATATATGGGGGAAAAATTGTTATTTCAACCTGTTCAATTTAATTGAATAATGAAGAGTGTTGTCATAAAACCCTACATGTTCTTATCCTCCAAAGATAATTCCTATTGATAATTTTTTTACTTATCAAGCCGTACAGATGACTTTACTTGTCGAGTTATCGCTCTAACAGTTCCCTTATTTTCTATGCATTGTGTAGAGGTTTTAGTTTATACTAATTTTAATCAAGACTAGGCAATGAATACGTGATTACAACTTATCACGGTTTTGGTGCATAGACGATGCGCGGCTGCGGTTCACATCAGCTTGAACCAGAGAAATTGATTACCACATCTTCTAATAAGCCAGTCACATTATGAAATTTCTTGGCTGAACGTTTGAGTTTTGCACAAAACTTTCAATTAAATGAACGAAATTTGTTCATGTGTGATTTTACGCCATATTCATATAGTATCTAGAGCTTAATTGTTGCATTTGTGGTGTATAAATTGCATATTTGTGCTTTAATTCTATGTTTGTTGGAAAGGTATTACACGTGCTCGATTTGTAGATATTTTCACATATTTTTAGAGCTTTGGCTATTGGAGGAGCATGGTGAGTGCCTAAGACTCCCGTGATGATGATAGATAGATGCA